TGTTCTAGTTCTCTCTCCTAGGTTCTGATAGTTTGTTAGCTTTGGAGAGTATAACTCCAGTCTTCAATTGCAGCATCCCTGTGTCTGTGTCCAAATTTCTCTTTATTAAAAAAAGACATCAGTCATACTGGATTAGGAGCTCACCCTACTCCATTTTGACCACCTCTTAACTAATTACATCTGGTGTGATTCTATTTCCAAATAAGGTCACATGCTGAGATACTAGGGGATTGGAGTTTGATGTCTTAGGGATAGGATTTTGACACGTGAGTTTTGAAGACATAAAATTTAATCCATAACACAGCTCTGAGCAATATAGATGAAAAAGAAAGAATATCTGTCTGTCTGTGTCTATCTGTGTGTCTTTCTGTCTATCTATCTATTATCTATTTATTATCTTATTTTTTTCCATCTCCTATAGCTTGTGCTGAAATTCTAGATAATTAAATGTGGAAAAAAATATTACTTACTGCACTGTTACATAATTCAAAACTAGTTCAGGGCTCCAGTAAATGGAGGGAAGAACAAGACCCTAATGGAAAGAAGGGATACTGTATACCCTCCTTCTTTAGAAATAGCTTCACTAATACAAACTTTTATTATCCTGTCCAAATGAGGCTGAATATCGGACTGATTAAAATAATGACCTCAACAATCTTTATTCTCGTCTGATTTATGCATTTAAATCAAACCTCCAGTAATTGCATTTGGGAGGAGAAAGCCTCTATTAAGGATAGAGCTGTATTTGAAGTTGCTCCAAGGAAATTGGTGCAGTTAGTGAATTAATCATCTGAAGAATTGTCAAAGAAAAATTTTTATCAGAGCAACACAGATTTCAGAACTAGAAGGAATCTTGGAGATAATGTATTTAAATCATCTACTTTGGAAGCTAAAAAATAAATCTCAGAGGAACCCACTACATCATGCAGCATTGAACATCGTTGGTTGGAATTGAGTTTAGACTTCTCACTCCCAGTTGATCGTAATTTTTATCCTGGTTTTATTTGTGTCATTCGGTCATTAAGTTAATGCATCCAAAGTTACAGATTAGTGAAAACTCTAAGTGAAATGTGAGTTCACACCTATCTATTGCAAGAATAAATTTCCTTTGCAGTCTCATATCACATCATCATCAAGGGCACAGAAAAATATGCTGAACAAGGAAATGAGCATTGGAAATACATCATAAGCTGCTAATTTTGGGGAGGGGTGGGGTGGTGGGGGAGAGGGGGCAGACCGGGAAGACTTGCATTGTGGGAAATAAAAGGTGGGGATTATAAATCAGCTTGGATTCTTTTCTAGCTTTTGTAGGTCTATTTGAAGATAGCATAGATGGTTTAAGGTTCTGCAGTAGTTAACAGTCTCTGATAGGTCTTTCTAGACATTAAAATCAAAGAGCAGTCATCAGATTTCTTTATTTTTTCCAACTCTTTGTAAGACTCTTTTCATCAACACTGCTTCATCAGGCATGTAATTTGGTAGTTACTAAGGCAACAGTGTATTTTAGAACAAATAAAAAATGGGTCATGTCTTTGAAGATAAAATTGATTTGTGAAATGAAAAGCAAAATTAAGCTCAGAGTGCTTTTCTTTGATAGTACTATGCAAATTAGGATAGCAGACCTGTCATTTAAAGTAAAAGAATTCAACTTTCGAAAATTTCTAACCATACTTTTTGCATTTTTTAGTCCAGTTTTAAGCTTAGAGATAACATTACCTATTCAAAAAGAGTTGCCATTTTAAGTGAGGCTTATTTATTGCATACTAAATATATCATTTTGCATGCTACTTCAATCTTTAATCACACATCTTAATTAATATAATGCCTTAAACACGATAGTCTCTCAACTTTGCAAATAATAAAATGTGTCTAGACTCATGGATATTATGTAATATATAACAGTGTAGGAATTAATATTTTGTTTTCTGCCAACTTTAAAATACCTGAATGTTGTAGTTTTATATTGAAAACATAGCTATAGAAGTGCTTAAAAAATAAAAGAATGGGATATATCAAAAGAATACAGAAGCCAACTTGAAAGAGCTCCCAGTGCCAAAATCTGGAACAATTTGAACAACAAAATATATAACATACTGTAGCATTGTAAACCAAAGTATAAAATAAATAGCTTTGAAATCAGTCCATACTGATGTAGATAAATGATGGAATAAATAAATAAAAGGGGGCAAGTTAATGAGAGACAAATTTCCTTAAATAATTACAAATAATATATGTAGATCCTGCTCCTCTCTAAGAAATGCAGCTTAATGCCTCCCTTACTCCTACTCTTTGAATGTGGCCTGTGCTTGGTAAGTCTTTTACTAAGAGTATGGAAAAGGGACAAAAAGTAGGGTGGGGTGGAAGGGTGACTTCAGAGTGGAGAAACTTGGCAAATGCAATCTTAGATCAAAGTCAATGTCGTCAGTGATGTTTTCTTTGAAACAAATACCCTTTGATTAGACACAATATAAATGTGATCTTGATAGCATGTACCCTTTGATAAGATATAATGAGAATGGTCTTTCACCTCCTATGGTCTTTGTCACCAAAACCCTAACCCCAGTCTAACCTTGAGAAAAGACGTCTATCAAACCCAAATGGAGGGACATTCTACAAAATACCAACAAGTACTTCTCAAAAGTATAAAGGTCATGAAACACAAGGATCATCTGAGAAACTATCACTGGTCAGAGGAGACTATAGGATATAAAGTTAATGTAATGTTACAGCCTGGATGAGATCCTAAAACAGAAAAAGAACATTAGGAGGAAAAAAACTAGTGAAATCTAAATGAGGTGGAGTTAGTGGTATTTAGCTAATGTTGGTTTCTTAGTTGTGGCAATGTGGCATGTAATATGTTAGCAATACAGGAGTCTGAGTGAAGGGTATGTGGGATCTCCTTGTGCTATTTTTGCATCTTTTCTGCAAATATTAAACTATTATAAAATATGTAGTTTGTTCAAAAACACAACTACATGTACTTACCTACATTTTCATACTTGGAGCCACTGTATATAACTCTAGGAAAAATAAACTTAGAACTAGCCATTAACAATAGACATTGAAACTTGAGACCCCTAGAGTATCATAAAGAAAAAATGATTCAGCTAATGCTATTTTAAATAGCTGTTGTTCTAAAGTAATTCTTTATTTTTCCATTTTTAATCCTTCATTCACCCATGGTGATCTTTCTGAAAGGCCAGCTTTGAACAAGCTAAATTCCTCTGTAACTTTGAGAAGGGAATCTCATAGATTCCTTATCATTTGCAGAGCTAGTCAAAACCTGGTCCCAACACTCTCCAATCTCATCTTCCACACCCTCCATTGTCACCCCATCTCCAATTTAACAATTAATTTTCAGTTCCCTAAATCTTCTATATTACAGTGCCTTGGTTCTTCACTGTACATTATCTCTGCCTGGAAAATTATTTTCCCTTTATC